TTCCTGAGCAGCATCAGAAGCAAACACAGGTCCCACTCTCTATCTTATATGTTTTCCCTTCCTGTTCATTCTTTTTTGACTCCTTCTTTATATTCTTTTTTATGTTTCTGTTTTCTCCATGCATGTGTCTTATGCTCTCAGAAATATCCAGTGCCAACCTTGGACATGATTAAGGCTTATTAATGATACTCACTACTAAAGAAAATGTGAACCTTTATAGTAAAAATAAAGCAGAATTGTAATAGATTTTCCATTTTTTATGAGATTAACAATTGAATTTCATATATCTTTTAAAGATATATTTCTGAAGATCACAGATAAAATTATGGAGTGTATGGGACGGGCTTCCAAATGATCCAGTAGTGGGGCAGAGTGGGGATTACAGGTTAAACAAGATTGGCCAACAGTTGATAATTGTTGAACTTGGTTGATGGATAAATGGGGTTGATTATCCTACTCTATTTTGAAATATATTTGAAGTCTTTCAAAATAAAGTTTTAAAAATTGAAATTAAGAACTTCAAAATGGGAAGCAACACAAAGTAGGAAGAAGCCCCATATACAGCTCTCAGTTTATGTAGTATAACTAAAACATCAGGGTAAAATAGATATTATAAAATATCTTCAGTAAATGCAAAGGAACCAACAATGAGAAAAATATATAATATTTTCAATTTTTTAAGTTTAAACACTTTATAAGGTCAGTCAGGTAGGGATTAACATTGAAAGTATTAGAACAAGCACTGGGTTGTACAAATACCCACACCTAAAAGGTAACAGTTTTCAAATAATACCCTGAATTTATAAAAGATAAAATAAGGATACTCTTAAGAAAAAAAAACAAACAAAAAAAAACCCTCTTTACCTAAAAATGTAAGTATTCCATTAAATAAATGATAAGATAAAAATAAATTTGCTTCAAATCAAAACAACAATGCGGTACCATCTCACACCTGTCAGAATGGCCAACATCAACAAATCGACAAACGACAAGTGTTGGCGAGGTTGCGGAGAAAAAGGAACCCTCGTGCACTGCTGGTGGGAATGCAGACTGGTGCAACCACTGTGGAGAACAGTGTGGAGTTTCCTCAAAAAACTGAAAATGGAACTCCCATTTGATCCAGTAATCCCACTCCTAGGAATATATCCCAAGAAACTAGAAACACCAATCAGAAAGGATATATGCACCCCTATGTTCATAGCAGCACAATCTACAATAGCCAGAATTTGGAAACAGCCTAGGTGCCCGTCAGCAGATGATTGGATCCAAAAACTATGGTACATCTACACAATGGAATACTATGCTGCCATAAAGAAGAAGGAATTCTCATCATTTGCAGCAACCTGGATGGAATTGGAGAACATCATGCTGAGTGAAATAAGCCAATCAATGAAAGAGAAACACCACATGACCTCACTCATTTGTGGATAATAAAGAGCATTATAAACTGATGAACCAAAAGATAGATATAGAGACAGTAAAACAACAAGGAGACTGTCAAATTACAGCAGGAAGGGTAGGGAGATCTGGGGAAGATAATAGATCAACCGAAGGACTTGTATACATGCATATAAGTACAACCAATGGACATAAAACTATGGGGAGGGAGGGGATATGGGGGAGGGAGGGAGGGGGCAAAAAAAAATCATTAAAATATGTAAAAATAAATAAATAAATTAAAAAAAAAAAAAAAAATAAATTTGCTTCTGTATTGAAAGGTTGAATAGGGGAACTGAGGAAAATGATAAAGAAAGGGAATTTTGCTAAAGCTAAAGGTCTTGTGCACTTGGAAATGCATTTCACATAGCTATGAAATTAAAGTAGCAGAACGTCAGGAATATATAGACAATATACATGGTCTTCCAAAACTCCACACTTCACAAAATCACAGTAAAAGAACAAAAAGCAAACAAACAAAAATTCAAGAATAAAGAGAATGGAAAAGAAGGAAACAGCAACTATGTTTTTAAGATTAGAGAGAAGAAGGGCAAGTGACAAATGACTTGACAGGACCAAGAAAACTAGAAACAGAAAAAGCCAAAAAGCAATCCAAAGTACAGGATAGACCCCCCAGAGACTCATAAATTGGCTGACTAGTACTCTTGGATGTGACAGTGAAGGTGAAGAAGAAAACAGGAGGCTTAGATGGAAGTCTGTTTAAAAAGCAGTTAATTGTCTGCCTTACTGCATCAGAACTATACCTCTGTCCTTTCCCAACCTTGGCAAAAAGACTAGAGGTCCAGTGCCTGGAAAGTTTAACAGAGGATCCAGAATAGGGAAGACCAGCTTGAAAAGGGGTAAGTAAATGAAAGTCCATCTTCATACCAAATGTTGTCTTCGCAGCCAGAATGTTAAAATCCAGATCTAATAATCTAGATGGGAGGCCAGATTATTACTCTGTGATTACCTAATAAAAAGGAAAAGACCTAAACATGCAGACATTAGAGGTTCCCCAATACAACAGCCCAGCCAGAGTAAGGCCCAGAGTTAACTAAGTCCTACCATGAACAAAAGCTTCGTGTAAGATTCAATTTTAAATATGAAATAAGGATCAAGGAGCATCAGACATATGAGAAAAGCCACTAACATAAAAAAAAACCACGGGCCAGACAAAGAGAAATTTAGAGGAAACACACTCGCAGGAGTGTGTTAAACATAAAACAAAAGTTAAACATAAAACAAAAAACCCTATCTTTAATATCTTTGAAGAAATAAAACAATAGTACATCTACAAAAGAAGCATAGTATGCTGTTTTTAAAAGAAATATTCAAAAAAACAAAAAGAGTTCCTGAATGTTAGAAATATAATAAAAATTGAAAACTGAATAGAAGGTTCAGAAGGAAAATATGAAAGAAAACTAAAGGATCGTACATTTAATATATTTACTAGTTTTAGAAAGGAAGAAAATAGGAGGGAATAAATAGGAAAATAAGAATATTTTCTATAACTGAAGGACATAAATTTTCAAATTTAAAAAGCCCACTGAATGCTCAGCACAATGAGTAAAAATAGACTCACATCAAGGAAAATCACTGTGAAATTTCAAATCACTTTAGGAAGGGGAAATAATTTAAAACTTCTCAGAGTGGGGGGAAAAAATATTTCAAAACAGAATCAAGAATAAGAATGGCACTGGACTTCTGAGTGGCAACACTGGAAGCCAGAAAACAAATGAGGAATGTTTTTAAAATTCTGAGGAAAATAAATTCCTATTTGAGCTCTACACCCAACCAATCTAAGTTCAATAATTGAGCAGAGGTTTTCATATGAAAAGTCTCATGAAAAATTACTTACTTTCCTCAGGAAGCCCTTGCAGGAAGTGCTCCACCAAAAAGGAGAAATAAACCATAATAAAAGGAGAGATGAAATCCAGCACATGGAGATTCAATATAACAGAAAGGCAAATGGATTCCCCAGTATGAAGCTGAAGGGAGATCACAGGCTGACAGCTATGCATGAAGAACAAAGTCCAGCTTCCAACCATGAAGCAAAAAGTTAAACATAAAATTACCATATGACCCAGTAATTGCACTCTTGGGGATATACGCAAAAGATTTGAAAATAGGTATTTAAACAAAAATTTGTACACCAATATTCATAGCAGCACTATTCACAATAGACAGAAGGTGAAAACAGAGGGCTCATAGCTAATGAATGAATTAAAAAAATATGGTATATCCATACAATGGAATAATATTCAGACATAAAAAGAAAAGTATTAATACATGCTCTTTAACATGGAGAGTCCTTAGAAACATTTGTTAAATAGAAAAAAAGCCATACACAAAAAGTCATGTTTAAAAAAAAAAAAAAAAGTAATGTTATGCAATTAATTCTATTTACAGTTGACTCTTGAATAACATAGGGTTAAGGGTATCAACTCCCCCCAGTCAAAAATTCCCAAAATTTAACTACAAATAGATAGATTACAGTTGATGAGAAGCCTTACCAATAACATAACCAGTCAATTAACACATATTTTGTATGTCATGTGTTATATACTGTATTCTTATAATAAAGTAAGGTAGAGAAAAAGAATATGTCATTAAGAAAATCATAAGGAAGAGAATATGCATTTATTGTAGTACATATTTACTGAAAAAAAGATTTGTGTATAAGTGGACCTATGCAGTTCAAACCCATGTTGTCCAAGGGTCAACTGTATATGAAATATTCAGAGTTGGTAAGTCCATAGAGACAGAAAGTAGATTGATGGTTGCTAGGGGCTGGGGAGAGACAAGAATGGGGAGTGACAGCTTAATGGGTACAGGGTGTTCTTCTGGGGTGATGAAAAGGTTTTAGAACTAGAGGTGGTGGTTCTACAACACTGTGAATGCACTAAATGCCACTAAATTGTGCACTTTTACATGGTTAATTTTATGTTAAGTGAATTTTACCTCAATTTTTTAAAAAAGAAAGAAAGCTCCTGGAGTGCTCTAAGATGAAATTGATAGAATACCTAATGTGTTTTAAACATATTAAAATGAGATTTTAATAACTGAGGCAAAGTTTGAGAATAAATTACATTAATACATAGAAAATGAAACAATTAAGAGAAACTAGAAATTCTAAGTAATCATTTTAGTGATGCATACTGTTTACAAAATTATAGTAATTCAAATATGATATTGATCTAAGTAGACTCATAAGATGGGGGAGAGGGAGACACGGAAAATTTCAAATCTGTATTAGAGAGGGAGAGATGAAAGAAGTAACTACTAATCTCCCATAGTTTAAATTCAATAAAAAATACCTATAAGTGAAAATTTTTAAAGTAGAAATGTCGGCACAAGTTTATTATTTAAAGCTATGGGAGTAAGTACTGAAAGAAACAATTATAAAAGTCTTTAAGAGTTTCTTCTGGGAGTAGGAAATGAAAAATTGAGATACAATACCCCAGGGGATTGCAAGTTTTTATAGAAAACTTAGTAAAACTTAAAGGAAACGAGGTGGAGGAAGAATGATATATATTTACACTAGTTATGAAAACTCAGCTCACCTGGAGAAACTGTGTGAATTCTGTGTAGTTAAGATGCTTCTTCCGATTATGCCCAAAATGCAGTCGGATAAATTCACAGTCCCAGTTAAAAGGGATATGATGATGAATAATAGTCTGTCCAAAAATTTCTTTGACATTTTCTTAAAAGGGAAAACAAAAATAAATAAATTATAACCAGAATAAGTAGTTTAGTCCACTGCAATGTTCCTACAGAAAGAAATTAAGAGAAGTTTTAAAAGTCAATATTATCTGATTCTATTAAGATTAGCTGAAAAGATTTTTGTGCCCAGAAACCCATGAGGAACAGAATTGATACAAAATATAATTTTACACTTAAAATTGTGTACCATTACATATAAGGCCATGAGATTCTTAATTTCTCTTGATATAATTTTAATTAGGAAGTGATTTATATCTTGCACTATAAATGGCTGCTACTTTGCATTCCAGTATAAAATCAACTGTGTTTTCCCGGTTCCTCAAGGAGTCGAATTAAGCCCTTTATCAGAAGCATGAATACCTAAATTACAGTATAATGCAATATTTGTCATACTAAGTATGGTTTGATTGAGGCTTGATTATTACATTCACACTACCCTGAATATGTCTATTGAAGATAGGTATAAGAAATACTACCAAAAGCATATCATTAGCTCAGCAGCAAGCACCTTATTAAAAGCTTCTGATATTGTCAAAAATATGGTCTTGACACAAAGCTTCAAAATCCTCATAAAAACCATGATTATTAGTCTCAACTATTAAAATATTTTAAGATAAGTGAAATTAGTGATTCACTTTTACATAAAGAAGGACTAAACACAGTATACTAACTTTTAGATAAGAACCAGTCACACTGTGTAATATACAACCAAAACCGTCTAATAGCTTGTCTTCATGCACTAACCATGTCATTCACTTTCTTACACAGTTCCACCCTTACAATAAAAGTCAGTTCACAAATGACTGGTACTTTAATAAGCATAGACTGGAGAGACTAATTTAAAAGCTCATGCAAAAAAATCATTAAAAAGTTAAGAAAGCAGGAAGCCTTACTGACATCTAAAGAACAAAATTGTTTTCAAATTTAAGCCAATTATATTAGTGAAAGGGTTTTGCCATCAAGAGCTATCAATTAATTATACTAAAGAATTAGTAAATGCAAGTTTAATATTTTATAATCTCCAACTATGCTATTTTCTCTAATTTCTTCAAATTCTTTAAATAAGATACAGATCTCAATGTTGTAAATGGTTTAATGGATTCCCTTTAGTTTTTATACCTCTTTTCCTTGATAGAAGCATTGCTGTGGTAGGGATGGGGAGGTATGCAGTGTAAGCATCCTGAACTAGAAATCCTGCCAGTCTGGACTCAACATAGATAATAGCTCTGAATAGGTCACACCAATCAGTAACTTGGAAGAAGGCATTGGATGTCACTGGGGAGATGGGATTCTCATCTTTGCTTCAAATGAATGTAGCATTTATTTCTTGCTTAAGTAGCAACAGTATTAAAGAATTTTCAAATCATTTTTACTTTCCATAAACACAAATTATTATAAATTTATGGGGTTTTGTTTCTAAAAACAAAAAATTAACTCAATAGCAATTCATGGGATTCTGACTTCTAACCAACACAAATGATTACCCTTAAATTTACATAAAACTTCACATTATAAAATATGTTAAAGTTTAAAAAATAATTAAAATAACAAGGGTTGCAATAAAATATTTAGAGCTAAAAATATTATGATAGATCAAAAAAAATTTAGAATTCTCCAATTTATTTGGCAGTTTCTATTCCCAAATTAATTATCCTTATTTTTAAGTCTAATAAGGTATGAAACTAAGGAAACATGAATAAATGGAAAGCAACTCTAACTGGTTTGGCTCCGCAGATGGAGTGTCCACCTGTGAACCAAAGGGTCCCGGAATCAAATGCCCAAATTGCGAGTTCCATCCCCACTAAGGAGCGTGCAAGAGGCAGCCAATCAGTGATTCTCTCTCATCATTGATGTTTCTATCTCTCTCTCCCCTCTCCCTTCCTCTCTGAAATATATATATATTATATATAATATATATATGTTATAAGAAATCAAAAGCAGAACAGAATAAGTTAAATAACTACTTATATTTGAGTAATATTATTAAAGGTAATAAGTTATTTTATGATAATCTTTATTTTTAAATTCACAAGTCCCAAAACTCAACTATTGTATTTGATAAGAAATGTACATATTACTATCTAGATTTTATATAATGGTGGAATAAAGCTGACTTCCCTTTATGTGTTCAGAAGATAGCAGAATCTCAAGTGTGAAATGATATCAATGTAAAAAATTCAGAAGCTTTCAAACTACAAAAAAATAATTAACTATGAAAATTATTTTCTATCACAAAAAAATTACAATGTATAAGCCAAAATTATAATGTATAATCTATATTTAGAAAAATAGCTCTATAATAAAAACTTCCTATTTTATAAACTTCCTAGCAACCTCTAATTAAGATATTAGAACATCTTCAAAATAATTAAAATGATGGTCTAAATTACTCTTAGTAATCTCCCAAATATTGAACTGTCGTTTTCCATAAGTATTTGTTTGAACTTTTCCTATTTCTCCTAAAGTGGACATGTGCCAGCTTTTATATGGTTTCCTTATAACCATTATAATGTGCTGTAGTTTATTAGCTACCCTTAGATGTTGTTAATTATTTAGGCCATGTCACAGTCTACAACTATAGTTACTAGGATGAACAAAATTTCAAACCTACTTTGGCACCTCTTGAGGTATCCCACTTTCCTTCTGTTATTATTTACACCCCCAACTGTCTAAGGCTAAGTCAGGCCTTCTGAATACAGAAATAATTAGTACCACTATTATTTTGCAGCCCTATACTTAATTACCACTTTACTTTTACCAGGATGTGCTTATCAAAAAAGTTAGACAAATCTCCAGAACTGGAGAATGTATACTAGTATAACTGATGTTCTTATCTTACCAGCTTTTGTCAGGTCCTGCATGACATGAAAAGGAACACCAATAATCTCAAATGTACCCAGTACATCTAACTGACACTGCATAACAAGTTGTCCCCCCAGAGAATCCCGTCTTTCCAGTGGCAAACAAGGGTCTTGAGCTCTAAATAGCACTTCTTGGAGTGCTAATTCAGTAGCCACAGTTCTGGCCTGGATGAAAGGGATACGACAGTCACATCTTATGGCAGCAAGATCATGATCTAGTGTTTTTTTTATACTACGTTGGTATTGCTAAGAGAAATAGGAATCCATTCATTTTCTGACATAGAGGAAACAATAGACCACCTTTTCACTTCCTGCAGAGCATGGGCTTATGGAAAGAAATGGTTTCTAATTCCTTTGAAAAGGGAATCGGGGCCAGATACAAAAGTAGCCTATCATTGTGTTGCCTTTGCTCAAAGGAGACTAGCACAATGATTTGTCAGGAGGCAGGTAATGATGATAACTGTGATTAAGTAAAAGTGTTCACAGACGTATAACATTAGTCAGTTTAGCTGAATCAGTCACTTATGACGATTGGACTAGGTGAAATATACATTGAAGCATATATATTATGTAAATATGTCTTAACAGAGGTCTTAATTTTCCCCACTGTGTCTCCCCATCTCATCCACCCTCATCCCTCCCCTGGTCCTTATGGGAGCTTCCTACTGGTCTTGTTCACCTTTCTGCAGTACAAAATTACCTCTGACCGGGGCTGGCACTCTTCTCCAAGACTGCCGCCATGCCTGTTCCATGAATGAGCCTGGAAGGAGCTGCTGTACCAACGGTGTGGCCAGAGAACTCCTCCTGTAGGTATACAAGCCATCAGCCCTGTGACACAGCCCACCTACCATCAGCCCAACGACATCCTGATTCCAAGGATTTCAGCCCAGCAGGAACCACTGCTTTCAACTTACAGGCTTTAGACCAAACATTTTTATTGTCAGGGGGGGAAAAGTCCTCAACAGCTGAGTTTCACCTGCACAGTTCTTACAGTGAAGTCAGAGAGGCCTTTGGGACTTCCACCATGAACAATGAATATCCTTGTGTGTCACTGAACAAAAACAATGGCAAGACTTGAGGAGGTAAAGAGTTTTTCAGTGAAGGAAAACTTGGGGGAAAGAAGAGAAACAACTAAGAGACCAAAAAAGAAAATAAACAACAACAAAATAAAGATCAACAACAGGAACTCGTAGAGGAAGTCCCAATCAATATAGCATGTAGACTCAGACCCAACCTTCTAGGTTCTACTCCCAGTAGTTGGATCATTAGTTTTTTGGGTGACCTCCTCTTTTTCGAAGGAGAAGTGTTTCTGTTAACACTTTACCTACCTTCAGGAGGGACTACTATACAGTCAGTCAACAAAGTACTCATGCTGTCAAATACATGGAAAGGTCCGTTTCTCAGAAAAGATTAACTTAAAAGGCATCTATTTCTATAGAAACTAGATGCTTTCATAGTCTATCACCAAATGGTATAAAAACTAATAACAGCATGTCTTTTTTTTTTTTTACCTCAAACTCTATAGCCATTCTAAAAACCTTGAGTATTAATATGACCTTCTCTGCAATAACTGAAACAAGCCTCAAAAATTCTTCCTGATTTAATTTGAACACCAGGTGAAATTCTAATTCTTAAGAATTAAGCTGGGTATTGATTAGCATTAGTACTTCATATTATTCCATGTCTACAGTTTGTTTCCTCTGAAAAGGTACAACATTTTTCATATATAGCCCTCCATCTCCTGAGCCTTTCTATAATAGCAGTGGTTATGCCTAATTTATTCTTTCCTTTAGGGGGAAAGAGTCTATTTTAGAGACACAAACATTTTTATTTGCTATACATATTGATGGTCAAAGACAATATAAAATCAAAAGGAATCTCTGCTTTTTGAGGATCCTACAGTCAGGGGGTAAAGATGTGCCCTTGGAAAAGTTCACTTCAGAGAGTTCCTATTCCTAGGCAAACACTTGGAACACAATGTTGAGATTTTAATAGAAAACTTAAAATGTATAACATGTTTTATATTCATTTATTAATTAACAGATGAAGAGTTTGGGTGGTCATTTTATTTTAATGATTATATCTTTGTTAAAGCAAAAGGCTTTTATTTTCTTAATTTGTGACAAAAATATATCAGCTATTGACAATACAATGTAGTGTAACTGGTTATTTAGGTTACTTCAAGCTAATTCTGTCAAGCAGAATATCCAATACACTAGTGGATAACAGTAAGACCAAGGCAAATTTGTTTTGTATCTAGCACACACCAGTCATGCAATGGCCTCTACAAGGCTCATGCCACCAGGCAGTAACAGATATACAAGCCATTAAGTAATTATCCACAGCATGCACTAAAAGTTGTATTAAAGGAACATCAAAAAGGAAACAATTATCTAATGATTTTATTTCCTCTTGTAAAAAACCCAGAATCCTCTCCTGAGCTTGCATATTCTGAAATGAATTATCAAGGTCTCAATGTAAGTCCTCTCTTCCAGAGTAAAGGCATCTCTAACAATGGGGGGGGGGGGGGGGGGGGGGGGAACTTGCCCAAACTCAAGAAAATATTATTCAATATTGCTATAATACTGATATAAATACTTGAAAGATGCACACAATGTATAATTTGATGTGAAAAAAAAACCAAAAGCATAGATGAGAACAATATATACAAGTACACAGATAACATCATCATTATAGTCTATGAGAGCTAGCTACTCATGGCATACCAGTCTTTCCCCACTCCATTACACCTTGCATCCAATATTCTCTCCCACCTTTCTCTCCAGATGTGCACAACACAAAACTATTCTTTAAATAAGCTTCAAACTAGAAAACACAAGGCCATTTGGTAAAAAGAATTTCAAGTTAGAATTTCGAGTTAGGATCTAAAATTTGCTTTTACTTAAGCTATATGTGTAAATACATAAGCATTATTCACTTTATTAAACAGATACAAACATGAAAACTGACCTTTATCACAGATCCAAAAACCCTATAAAGATTATTTTCTTATGCTGAAATTATAGTCTCAAAATATAGCCTTAGAAATCTTGTTAAATGGCATTTCTAATAGTTTCAATGTTCTTCCTCATTTCTTAAGAATATGAAATTAAACTTTCTCTTTTTCATTATGATTTTTTTCATTTTAGTTAAGAACATCATCTAAAAATGGATCCTCAAAACTAGGGAGGCAAGGCAGAAAATGGTCAAAGTACCCAGGAAATAGGTGAGCACTATCAAAAGAATCATTCAGCTGGCCAGGGATCCCCGTTACAATGTTGAAAGGTGGGTCAGCTTTACCTTATTCCATAAGAATCTTCCGATCTCTAGATTATGGAGAAGAATGAAAGCAGGATTTTGGAGGGTCTATATGCTCTTCAATTCATCCTAGGTGCTATAAAAACTAAAACTGATTTGTTTTGCTTTTAATCCTAATTATATGTTCTTAAAATCATAAATCATAGTCTGAGGGCAAAAACAAAAGATCTATAAAATGCTAAAGCTCTATAAAATAAAATGTTAAAGTGGTAAAAACCAACTACTTCCTACACTCATTTTAACATACTAATCAACAATGGCATGAGTCTCTATTGTTAGTCTGTTGTATGTACTGACTTGAGTGACTAATTTTTCAAAATAGAAATTGAGAAAATCAATCAAATGGAGGATACACAAAGAACCATGATATCAAGATAGGAGGTACAAGATAAATCACAATTTGTTTTTGGGAAATATAAATCTTACATAATGGACATGTGATAGAAGCACAGATATAATGTCATTAATGCAGATATTTGTATCAAGATATTTCCCAAGCATTTCTGCACATTTGGAAGTGAGGCATATGAGCGTGTGTGATACCTACTGAAAATAGAAAATGCAGCATTATCAGTAGTACTGGGTTAATGCTGAAGGATAAGATACAATGGTTTTATGCTTTAAATACAGAATCTAGGTATTTTTGAGGAAAGTCAATATTCCTTAGGAGGCATTATGGCCAGAGATTGCTCCAAAGCAGGGAGAATTCCAAGATATGCACAGGAACCTAAAATGTTCTGCCAGGTTTTTATTTGGGAAAATCATATTCAGAAGACATCTGGGCTAATGGGCAGAAGGAAACAATCAATGGCAAACTAGAAAATGTGCCCACTGAGATCACAGCAAAGGCACCACTGGTCCTTCTGAACACCTGTATGTTCTCACCAGTCTTCCATGCAGTGATACTCCTTCCTTTGGGTTTAATTAAAAGTATCTGGTTTAGAACAAATTCTATGGTGAATGAAGATTTAGTCCTGTGGCTCAGGAAAAGCCCAACTTTCAAGAGTTACTACTTACTGATGCCAATTCACACCATAAATGGGGATCTAGCTCAGTTTTACAAGATGAAAAAGTTCTGGAGATCTATTTTACAACAATGTGAATATACTCAACAATATGAACTATACACTTAAAAATGGTTAAGATGGCAAGTGTTACGTGTTGTTATCAAATTTAAGAACTCTAAATTAAAAAAATTAAAAAATTAAAAGGATGGAGCACTCAAAGTCCTTAAAAACACTACATGACTTTATTAAAAAGCCTATTGCAGGAAAACCTAATAGATACTTTTCCTAAATAAAAACTAATTTCTGCAAACAAGTGTCATTAAAAATTAATACATAATGCCAAACAGAAATCCAAGTCCATAGTTTGTGAGACATCAACAATGTGCTAATTTTTTTGCTTATCAAAGAATCTACTCCCAACTCAGATGGCAATTTTAATACCTTAGTCTCGTTCCCTAAAACCAGAATTCTAAAAGAGGGTCCAGAGAAGGTTAATTATTCTTGCCTTAACCTCCTCCTTTAGTGCCATTCTTGGTGTTAAAATGACTAGCAGCAATTTTCCAAAGACACTACAGAGAAGCTCTGCAGATATTTGTATCAGGTTTTTATTTGGGAAAATCGTATTCAGAAGACAACTGGGCTAATGGGCAGAAGAAAACAATGCTCTGCTCAGAAGTCCTTTTAAGATTGTTGTTGTTCACAGTCTTGTTTCATAAAGACTTTTCCCCAGGCTGGCTCAGAACAAGAAAAATTTACACCACCTATTTTAGGAGTGTGAAAGTGTCAATGACTCAATGAGATGAAGTAATGACATTCCTAGGTTCCTTATTTTTTTGCAGTAGTCTAATGCTTACAAGAAAATAAAACAATTTACCTGCATAAATCCTTTTAAGAAAGTAATATTTTGATTATTGACTAGCTCATAAATAATCAGCAATCTATATGCAGTTGCTAGATTTAGAAATTAAGACTGGACCAGCCTCACCTACTTCATTTATCACTTACAATCTTTTTTTTTCCTTACCAAATGTCACCTCTCCATTTCCACTCTTGTCAAACAATTGGAAAGCCACTATGAACATGGAATCTGGAGCACATAAAACAGATTCAAATGCCAAAAACTCTTGATAGGAGATCAACCTAGAATAAAATATAAAATGTTACTGGCTGATACAAAAAGAAAAAAACATCAAGCATTTAAACTGCCTTTACTGTATGAACTATAACTCAGGGTAACTAAATAATAGATGAAAAAAGCTTCTCTTCATAGAGGTATTCCAGATAATAAAAAAAAGAAGGAATGAATAAAATTAAAATATCAGCCTTTTCTGGGAGCGGCCAGGCCCAGAGCAGCCGGGTCTGGTGCGGCCAGCCCCGGAGCAGCAGCTGCCAGGCTGGGAGCGGCCAGGCCCGGAGCAGCGGCTGCCAGGCTGGGAGCGGCCAGGCCTGGAGTAGCCGGGTCAGGTGCGGCCAGGCCTGGAGCAGCAGCAGCCTAGAGCAACTAGGTCGGGAGCGGCAGTGACCAGACCCAGAGCAGCTGGTTGTGGAACGAACTAGAGCAACAGAGGCCAGGCCCGGAGCAGCCAGGCCCAGAACAGCTCGCTCCTCGCCTGCCCCTGCCCCACGGCTGCCTCTCAGACATGGCTGGAAACTTTTGCGGGAACTTGAGGGTCTGCTGAATCAAGTGATGAAGGCTTAGATCTGGATGTGTTGAGTTAGTATAGCGCTGGGGTGTTGATCTGTGAGTGCCTTGGGTGGGGCCTGGATGAGGCTGGTTGACCTATTTGGAAATGTCTTTTGTGTGAAGTGTATCATTGGGCATGTGGAGGTATTATTAATATGAGAAAATGCTAAGTAACTGATTTACTATCTGAAAAGGGATTTACTATCGGGGAAAGGGAGGGAGGAAGAGACTGAACATAAACCGTGCACCTATGGATGAGGACAATGGGGGATGGGGAGGGGGCGGTGGGTGGGGTGGAAACCTGGTGGAGGGGGGAAGAAATGAGGAACCTTTGTAATAATATGAACAATAAAGATTGATTAAAAAAAAAAATTAAAATAATCAGCCTTTTAAAAAACTCTAACAAATTAATGGACCTGGGCAATAATCATTAGCCACTAACATCACAAAAAGAGAGAGAACTAGACCAAAATTAATTAAACTTGAATCTGAACAAGTCTATAGATCAGAGTTCCTCAACCTTGGCACTCAACAGTACCAGTCTAGGCTGGATAATGCTTGTTGTGGAGGCCTCCTGTGCACTGTATCTGGTTTGGCAGCATACCTGGCCTCTACCCACTAGTGCCAATAGCAGCCCCCATGTTAAGAATCACTATTCTAGGTGTAATCAACAATTTATGAAAAATACAAAGGACAAAAGATCATGTGAACATTATCACGGGAACACAATCAGCAAAAGTGCAGACTGGAGGGAACTACAGAGTGAACATGACCTTTTAGAGAAACATGCTTCCCATTTTCCTAATTAAGAACATGCCTACATTTTACAATCCAATGTATGCCGCCATTCATCTAAAACACATTTTACATTCAACGTTACATTTTGTATTTCTTAAAACACATTGAAATATGTTTAAATTACATAAATTATATTATATCCAAAGCAATTATTTATACATGCCTTTGCCCTTTATTGAGGGAAATGCTTTGTGGTGATGTTATTCAGGAATTATGCCCTCACTATCATGCTAAAGCATCCTTGGTGACATTAGGAGCTTGAGTGCCTAATAAGTCCTGGGAGGAATGACCTAATAATCAAAACTGTTTTATCAGGCCACATGTCATAAAACGCCTTATGCATTGGTGTACTAGTAAAACATATAATAAAACTCAAAAGTGTGGTTATCATTACACAAATTTTAGGGTAACAAAAACAAAGTTATAACATATCAGGTAACACGAGCATCCACCCACTCCTGAAAGCAATGAGTAATATGTGGTTTTAAGCTCTGAACAAAAGTAAAGAGCAATGGTATGGTATGATATGGTTGGACAGTACAAGAATGTGTAACACAAAACCAGTAGTGATATTGGGAAGGAGTTAGAGAAGACCTTCATTTTTTACTTTATATTTTTCTGAAGTGTTTGCAATTTTTATAATGAAGAATTAGAATTATATCTTCTGATTGTAAGAGTCATTTTTAAAATGAAAATAAAAAATAACTAGGATGCCCTGACCAGTTTGGCTTAGAGCATTGGCCTGCAGACTGAAGGGTCCGGGTTCGATTCCAGTCAAGGGCATGTACCTTGGTAGGGAGTATGCAGGAGGCAGCTGATTGATGTTTCCCTCTCATTGATGTTTCTAACTCTGTATCCCTCTCCCTTCCTCTATGTAAAAAAATCAATAATATATATATATTTTTTAAAGTTTTTTAAAAAAGTAACTAGGCTGATTATCAATTTAAAAATATATGTGTCATCTTGGTTTTTCTAAAATAAGTCTTAGGAATTAAATACTAAAAATACAATTACCATGAAATGCAAACTATGCAGCTTTAAAACACATTTCATGGTCAGTAGTAGAACTTACTATATTTATGAAAAGAGGGCCAAGAACTTTTCCTTAATGGTCATAAACAGTCAGCTGGCAGAGTGAACTTGGCTCATACATATATTTTCTTTGGCATGCAAAGTATTATTTTTTTAGTTGCATTAGTTGCCAACATTTGGAAATCGTAAGATTTCATATAAATATCCACTTTTCTGGTTTCTCTTGATAAATTGCAAGCTTGGGCAATAGGTTACTGGTGTCAAATAGCACCAGCCCCTGAAATCAAGCAAAAACTGCCTCTTTCTGAGAGACCAGGGCTCAGCAGTTATCTACGCCCTGCCATGCAGATTTGAGACTAGTTGGTCAGGTTTCTAACTTTGTTTAAAATACAAAATCTATGAACTGTATTAAACCCCTACATTTTGTCTACCAGTATATTCATAAAGGCAAATCATATATTCATGCAACTTTAGAGCTAGAGGGACTCTTAGAAAGTCTAAAGAAGTCAAACCATCTGCTCTAAAACATTTAGCAACTCAGTAGGCCCAGTGGGATTCTCAACAAAAGATGATTCAGTGTACACCTTTAATTCAGTGTACACCTCGCTAGAGCCAGTCCCCAAATTTAAAGTTACAGTTGAGAAACAGAAAGGTAAAATAATAGACCATTACAAGAAAGTATTGAAGAAATGCTCAGCCAACATTCAATACTCAGAGTTACCTGTGTTATATAGAGTGATTTATTTGAAGAAAGAAAAGTCAATTAAGAAACACAAAAGCATCAACAATCTATCCTATATAATAAAAGGCTAATATGCAAACTATCCCCTCCATGGGGAATTCAACAAACAAAATAAAAACAGGCTCATTTATACAAAAAACAGACTGACAGCTGTCAGAGGGGAGGGGGTTTGGGGACTGGATAAAAAAGTGAAGAGATTAGCCAAAACCGGTTTGGCTCAATGGACAGAGCGTCGGCTTGGGGACTGAAAGGTCCCAGGTTCGATTCCGGTCAAGGGCATGTACCTTGATTGCGGGCACATCCCCAGTAGGGGGTGTGCAAGAGGCAGCTGATCGATGACTCTCTCATCGTTGTTCCTAACTCTCTATCCCTCTCTGTACAAAATCAATAAAATATATTTTTTTTTAAAAAAAAAAAGTGAAGAGATTAAAAAAAAGACTCAGGCATCAGTATGGTGATTGCCAGGGGGTAAGGAGTGTGAGGGAGATAGGAGAGTGCAAATGAGGGGTTAAGTGATGGTGGAAAGAAACTTGACTTTAGGTAGTGAGCATACAATGTGGTTTGCAGATGATGTGTTACTGAGTTATATGCTTGAAACCTGTGGTGTTATTAACCAATGTCATCCCAAAAATTTTAGTTAAAAAAAAGATTTATGGGAGATTCCAAAATGGTGGCAGAGTAAGTAGATACATACTGACACATTCCCAGGACACCAACATTTCTACTTAAACAAATACAATAGTCTCCTAGATAGATATCACTGCATTCAAATCTTGTCCTACTCCAACCTACAATTTTTCTAAAATTGAATCATTTACTAGAGGCCCACATGAATTCATGCACAGGTGAGGTCCAGCCGGCACACCCCAATTGGGGCTGATCAGGCCAGGCCAGCAGGGGTAAGGGGATGCAGGAGGTTGACCGGCCCACCCACCACCTGGTCCAACTCCCAGTCGAACTCCTGTTCAAGAGAACAATTTGCATATTAGCCTTTTATAATATAGGATGGTAATGGAAATAATGTTTAAAGAGTCTATATTGCCCAGTTCTTGTTTTGTTGGGTTTTTGTTAGTTTTTTACACAAGCACCGCAACAGGGAAGAAAAAAACACCTCGGGCCTTGGAGGTCTGGAGATGTAACTTGGAACTCACAAAACAAGGCAAATTTTATTTATAATTCATACAAATATTCCACTTGCTCCATTTTACAATCATATATGATTTTAATATAAAAGCAGTGTTTTCCCCCCCTTGAAATGAATAAACTGAGACGTTAAGTAAGATGCACCTTGTGATTTCTGTGACTGCACAATATACTGTCAGGCTAAAAATATATCCACGACTGAGAGTCATGAGCCTCTCGTTGACAGCATACAGTCAAAGCCTAGCACACAAAGCCAACCACAACTCTGCCAGTGGCAAAGCAGTACCACAACCACACCAAAGTACTTGTAGCACAATCTCCCCACTTTCACTCCCCAAAACACACACACACACACACACACACACACACACACACACACAAATGCCCCTTGGTGCTTCAAGTCACTACTGCTCCCCCTTTCATGGAATTCCCCTTCCTACTTGTCCAACAACCAGCAAGATCCTTTCATCTTGCCAGATTTCACCTCTTCTGTGATACTGTCGTGACCATCCAAAACAGACTTAATTATGCTTTCTTAAGTGTCCTTTGTATCTTTTACATACTTTTACTGTAGCATCTTATTCCCAAAGTATTTCTTTTCTATGTTGTTTACCCGTTCTTTATCTCACTAAGCCATGAAATCTTAAGACCAGAAATCCTATTTTATGTTCATACTTCTAAGGCCCAACAGAGCCTGAAAAAATGGTGTTTGTTCAATAAATGTTTATCAAATAAATGAGTAGACAGAGAAATGAATAAATAACACTCTCTAAATTCTTTCCTGATTTTTCTTTATAGCACATATAATCTCCTAACACTGTGGTCAGCAAGCTGTGGCTTGTGAGCCACATGCGGCTCTTTGGCCCCTTGAGTGTAGCTCTTCCACAAAATACCACAGCCTGTGCGAGTCTATTTTGAAGAAGTGATGTTAGAAGAAGTTTAAGTTTAAAAAATTTGGCTCTCTTACCCTAACTGGTTTGGCTCAGTGGATAGAGCTTTGGCCTGAGAACTGAAGGGTCCCAGGTTCGATTCCGGTCAAGGGCATGTATCTCGGTTGAGGGCACATCCCCAGTAGAGAGTGTGCAAGAGGCAGCTGAATTGATGTTTCTCTCTCATCAATGTTTCTAACTCTTTATCCCTCCCCCTTCCTCTCTGTAAAAAAATCAATAAAATATATATATTTTTTTAAATTTGGTTCTCAAAAGAAATTTCAATCATTGTACTGTTGATATTTGGCTCTGTTGACTAATGAGTTTGCCTACACTTGTCCTAACACATTCCAATTTACTTTTGACTTGGTTCATTTTTGTATGGTTTATTCACTGATGTAATTCTAGCTCGTAATACAGTGCCTAACGCATAGTAGATAGTAGGTATTCAATATTTATTGCATGAATGAATTAATTAATTAATTAATGGAATATAGTTATCTGAAAACCATTCTGCTCAGATTATATATAAAATATGACTTTTCACATGTAAGTTTTTCAAAATAAAAAGAAATACCAGTAGCCTTGATAATGGTAGTAAATAACAAAGTTTTTATGATCACCTCAGAAAAAAATATGATTTATTGATATTAAAATTCCCAATTGTCATAGGTAAACTTATGGTTTTCCATTTTTTAATCAGACACTGCAGGGCATTAGCCTTCAAAAAATGCATAGAGCCCATGTGGCTCATTCAGTGTGGCTCAATGGTTGAACGTTGACCTATGAACCAAGAGGTCAGAACCCCATCAAGGCACATGCCCCACTTGCAGGCTCGATCCCCAGGTAGAGGACCTGAAGGCAGCTGATAGATGTTTTTCTCTCATTGATGTTTTTAATCTCTCTATCCTTCTACTTTCCTCTACCTCTAAAAATGTTTAAAAACATTTTAAAAAATGCATAAAGGTCTTACCCATCCTTGGTTTGATCAGCTACTCCTGCCAAGAGCTGAACAATCTTCGGATTGCTATCTGGATCATTATACAGTCCAAGATAGCGCTGGACAAAGTCCTCCGGGGTCATGTAATGTTCTCCATCGACTTCAGTACTGGCATACTAAAAAGTAAATAATGTATATTTAAATATTAAAATTATTCAATATCCTTTTATAGCAAACAAATATCTTATGAAAATGTAAATTAAAGACAAATATCAAAATCAAAATATAGATAATGCAGACTTTTTCTCTAGATAGTGAAAAAACAAATACCAAGAGCATGACTTAAGAACATTGGTAAAGTATTGATATATACTCTGTCATTGATTATAACCTTTTACATCTCATGGTACACATAAACTAATTACTAAAATTCTGCTGCATGCCAAAAAAATATACTTTTTGCCAATCTGACAAAATAAAATAGGTATAATTTTGATTCATTCACACTGATTGGCTATTGTTGTGTGGGCTGTTGTCATTTTTTTTTTTTTTTTTAATTTGACAATCTAAGGAGAAAGAGGTCAATGCTTTTGAGTAAATAGTCAGGGATTGCATGGTTCTGTTTGTCTATTTTCAGTTAATTCTCATCTCAGGATATTTTTTTCCCACTGAGTTTTAGAGAAAGTGGAAGGGGGGGAAGGAGAGATGGAGAGAGAGAAACATTGATGCAAGAGAGACACACTGATTGGTTGCCTCTTGCATGCTCCCCAACCAAGGGTTGAGATCAAGCCTGTAGCCCAGGTAGGTGACCTTGACTGAAATCAATACAAGATCTTTCAGTCTGAGGGCCAATACTCCAACCACCCAGCCAAACTGGCGAGGGCAAGTACTGCATGTTTTAAAAATTCTTGTGGCACATCAATTGAAAATCACTGATCTAGAAAAATGAAGTTGCAGCTATCAATTTAGCTACTTCACTCAACTATCAAAGTAGTAATATTAGAAAGTTTCCCAGAATCAAAGAAACACATAATAAATTTTAAAAAACCAACAAAACACCATGACTTGGCCCACCATCATAAAATTACAGAACATCAAAATAAAGAGAAAATCCTAAATGTTTATAGAGGAAAAAAGAACAGGTCACATATAAAGAATTATGAATCACAGACATTATTTTCCTCTCAACAGAAACACTGAAAGCTTGAAGACAATATAGTAAGGTCCTTAAAATTCTAAGAGAAATAATTTCCAACCTAGAATTCTAAACTTAGCCAAACTTTCAATCAATTGTAAAGGTAGGTTGAAAGCACTTTGAGATAGCCACATTCTCAACGTTTTTTCTTCCTTCATGTATCCTTTCTCAGAAAGCTATAGGATAATTTGCTCCATCAAAAATAGAACATGAACCAAATAAGAGGGAGGTGTGGGAATTAGGAAACAGATAATCCAACTCAGGAAAATGGCCAAGGGAAATCCCAGAACTGTGCTGCAGGCTCAAGAGTACCTAATCCTGGCTGGGGCAGGCAGAGGGGTCCAAGAAGGAAGCCACTAGGGAAAATGAAATGTCAGCTTATCCAGGGCATTTATTTGGCTATCTCGAAAATAACATTGGGAGAAATTTAAACCTGCTCAAATGTCACCTTCTCAATGACACCCACGGTTATCACCCTATTTAGTCTTACAACCCATGCCTGTATCTATATTTCCACTTCCCCAAATGTTGCTCTATTTTCCACTTGTACCTATCACCTTCTAACATACTATATATTTTATTTTTTTATTATGTTTATTGTCTAACTCCCAATTAGAATGTGTCACAAAGAAAAAATATATTTGTCTAGTTTGTTCACAGATGTATCCCAAGCACCAAAACTAATGCTTGGCATGTAGTAGGCACTGAGTGGATATTTATTAAAATAATGAGTAGGTACAAAGGCAATAGGTACAAAGATTACTAAGTAAGCCCTAGCCAGTTAGGCTCAGTGGATAGAGCATCAGTCTGTGGACTGAAGGGTCCCGGGTTCTATTCGTGTCAAGGGCACATGCTGGGTTGCGGGTTCGATTCCCAGTGGGAGTGTGCAGGAGGCAGCCGATCAAAGAGTCTCTCATCATTGGTGTTTCTATCTCTCTCTCCCTCTTCCTTCCTCTCTCTGAAATCAATAAAAATGTGTTTTTTTAAAAAGATTATTAAATAAATTTAAAGTTAGGTAATTTTTTATTTTCTGAAAAAGTAAATAATGAAAAGTATTTTTGTTTTACAAAAATAGGAAATGTCATAAAACATGACTTAACTAAAACATTAATAGTAATAATGTAGATACCAAATATTAACTTAATGATGATTACAGCCCTAGCCAGTTGATTCAGTGGACAGAGCGTCAGCCTGCAGAATGAAGGTTCTCGGGTTCAATTCTAGTCAAGGGCATGTATCCCAGTTGCAGGCTCAATTCCTGACTCCAGTCAGGATGTACATGGGGAAGGTAACCAATGAATGTGTCTCTCTCTCCATCTCTCCCACTCCTTTCCACTCTCTCTAAGACTAAATGTAAAATCACCCTAGGGTAAGGATTAATAAAAATAAAATTATGATTACAAATATGCAATGAGGAATGGAGAAAAAAGAATGTGGGAGAATGTAGTATAAGGAATTCCTCAACTACTGTAATAATGACTAGGAATAGAAGTATCCTATATAATAAAAGCCTAATATGCAAATGGCGGAATGACCAGTAGAACAACCAGTGGCAGGACCAGTCGCTATAATGTGCACTGACCATCAGGGGGCAGATGCTCAACACAGGAGCTGCCCCTAGCCTGCAGGCCCCAGGCCAGCCAAGGTAGGTGCCAGCGGGGGACGGGGAGGGCAATTTCCCCGCCAGTCGCCCCACAGATAGGCCCTGATTACTGGCCAGGCCTAGGAACCCTACCTGTGCATGAATTTCATGCACTGGGCCTCTAGTAGAAATATAAAGGAAAATACCAAAATAAATAGCTAAAAGAATTACAGGTGGTTGCTTCTGACAAAAAAGACAGGGATGAAAAGGACCAGAGCAAATAACTTTTGGTTAAGCATTTCAAATATCCTTATTTGTGATCTAACTTTCAACAAGGACAGCATTAAATAAAAAATGTTCCCTTTGCTGTATTCTGAACCACACCACAGAGGCAATCACAGCAAATTCTGTATCAACCTACCTAAGAAGTAACCCAAAGTGGACATATTTTTATTAGCTAGTGCTAACAATAGCACCTAGCAAATATCACCCCAAAATAAAATCATGTTCTCTCTACATGCTATTAAAAGTCATTCCTAAAAAGGTCCTAGGTTTAAATCCTGGCCCTACTACTAACTCACTGTGAATCTTCAACAACTCCATTCTCCAGTCCTCCTAGGTACATCACACAACTATAAAATGAAGACTAAACAATTTTTGATGTTTTAAAACAATAGGTATGCAAACATAGAATTAAAAAATAAACTACATAATATTGCTACTAATAGTGAATGGATTCTACCAATTCCTATCAATTGCTTCCTCCTCTCCTTCTTTAAGGCACATGTGTCAAACACAAGGCCCGCGGGCCAAATCCATCCCGCCAGGTCTTGCAATGTGGCCCGCACCGCGCTGTCATCACTGCACTCCGCTGCGTTTCCATCACAATGACAGTTTATGACTGTTCAGTAAACCATTCGGCCCGCGATTTAGGCTGGATTTTAGATTTTGGCCCCTTCTCTGATTGAGTTCGACACCCCTACTTTAAGGTATGACATAATCTGATATGTTTACCAAGATCACAAAACTACAAGCATTTAGAACCAGCAGGAGTGGGGAAAGGCACAATGTCAGGGAGACTACTGCAGTGGAAAGAGGGAGCAACACAAGGAAGTCTAAAAGTAGAATTTAGAGAGACTGACAAGTCAACCATTAAGAATATGAGCGCCAAACCACAATATGAAAAATGAACTATGGGAATCAAAAAGGAGTGGTTCATTCTAAGGACTGATAGGATGGGGTTAGGAGGACGAAAGAGAAGGCCTGTTCAGAACAGGCCTTAAAAATAAAATTTAATTTCAACTGCAAATGGACAGAAAGGATATTTTAGACTAAAATATAAAAACCAATGTGAACAAATATAGAAATAATTATTTTCTCCTTTGGGGAGAAGTTATCTGAAGAGAGAAATGGTAACAAAGAGGAGGTATACATATAAAGATATGTAGAAGATGAAAATGAAAAGACAGTTTGAGTCCAGATGGTGGAAGACTGAATACTAAACTGAATAACTGAGTTTTATTCTGTGGGCCATGGAAATAGCACTAAAAAATTTAAGGGAGGAGAGGTATTCTGATCTTTGCTCTCCCATGTAGCAATGTGAAAGATAGTAGATTGGAAAATAAATAAACTGACTAAGGGCAAGGAGACTACCACAAAGATCCAGGTGAAAGAAGCTGAGGCTTAACCAAGGCAGTGGGAAGTACAAATTAGTAAAACAAGGAGAGGGGGGGGAATTCTACTGAAAGTAGAAGCTACTATGCACAGTCAGCCAAGATGCTAAAACATTTCATTAGCAATGGGTGAATGACTACATTCACCCATTGCTAATGGATATGATTTTAATAGTGTTACATTCATATCACTCAAAATTAAAATGGTATAAAAGGATATTATATGGTGAAAAGTCTTCCTCCCATCTCTGTCCCTAGTCACTCAATTCCCCACTCCAGAGGCAATCAATTTCTTATATATCCTTGCAGTTCTCTTTTACACATGAGCGAATAAATTACATATACTTGACATATATGTATATATTATATATCCATGTTTTATATATATTATACAATATATACATTAGTACATATACACATGTAAATATGTGTATATGAATATTCTTATCCAGTTCTCTTTTTACACAAATAATAACTATTTATACTGTTCTGTACATCTTTTTTCAAGCTCAGTCCTTTTAAAAAGTGATTTAGCAATATATGTACATACACACAAATATACTTATACATCATGTATAAAGGGCTATAAAAATGCTCACATTTGCCGAAACCGGTTTGGCTCAGTGAATAGAGCATCGGCCTGTGGACTGAAGGGTCCCAGGTTCGGTTCCGGTCAAGGGCATGTGCCTTGGTTGCAGGTACATCCCCAGTGAGGGGGTGTGCAGG